CTCTTGGATGTTGACAAATGAAGAGGTGTGAGCTTCAACGGTAGAAGGGAGTAGTCTTCTCCCCGTCGGTCTTGCTCTCATGCTACCAAGTGCGCGAGTTTGCCATTTGGCGTGCTTTGAATTGATTGTCGAGCTCTTCTTCTTCTTCCATCTCTTCATCCCAGAGATCACCCCAACTCTTGGATACCATGTCACTCTTCTTGCCAAAGACTGATGCCATAGATGGCAATGGGATTGGCTTTGCCATGGCGATGGGTAGAGATCCAGAGATGGGAGTAAGACTAGCCTTTGGAGGACCAGCCTTCATATGGCGTCGGATGGCAAGAGATTGCATCGAGGATCCAAAGGAAGAATCGAGGACTGATTCCATTGAAGGAGTTTGCTCTCCCATGGAGAACCAATCCTTCTTGCTTACTTCAGAGCCTGGGAAGAGGTCCTCGGAGTCGTAATCCTCATCTGGAATGGCGGAGAGTTGACGGAATTGCTGAGGTGGACTAGCATGTAACGCCTTAGCCCATGGGAAGGAGGCACCCGCATCGATTTGAGGGCTTTGAATGGAAGGCGTGCGCAATGGCTCACGGTTCGAGCTGGGAATGCCACGACGATCAGCAGAGCTGAAGTCATCGGCAAACTCATCAAATGTTGTGAAGCTGAGTACACGTTCGATGGCCTCGCGAGCGCCAGCAAGCGATCGCTTTCGAGGATCAAGACTCATACACTGAGCAATGACTTCATACGTGTCTTGTGACATTGTAGGGAAGACATCGAAGAGTGATTGCTTGTCTTCGAGTGAAGTCAAGAAAGAGGGGATCTGCCTCTGTGGGTGTCGAGAAAGGGTTGCGAGAGAATAAGATGTTCAAAAGGCAGATGCCAATGGCCCAGATATCGGCTTGCTCTGGGGAGTATCCCGCACCAGCAGAATCATATTGTTCTGGAGACATGTAGCGGTCACTTCCCACGGTAGTTTCGTATGACCACTTCTCCGACGTTGCAAGGCCAAAGTCACCAAGCTTCATCTCCCCAGATTGAGTGAGGAAGATGTTTTCTGGCTTGATATCACGATGATACATGCCCTTGCTGTGAATGTATGCAACAGCATCAATAAGTTGTAGCATAAATTGACGGACATGTTCTGTTTCGAGCGGGCCAGTGCCAGTTCGAATAGCTTCGTAAAGATCACCCCTGGAGCAAAACTCTAAGACAATATACACATGGGCTTCGGTCTCGAAGGAGTGGATGAGATTGACAATATTTGGGTGAGAGCCAAGTCGAGCGTGGCAGGATAGTTCTTCCGAGTGCTCGTCAATGGCAAATGCGGAATCGGCATCAGTCATGGTGGCAGATTTCTTGGTTAAGCACTTGATAGCAACGATTTCGTTGGTGATTAGGTCCTTGGCCATGAAAACCATTCCGAATGAGCCATGGTTGAGGGGGGATATCGTTTCAAAACGTCCATCAAGGACTACACCGTCGTAAAACTTCTCTCTTAAGCACTCCATTGTTGTGATTAAGGGTCGAAGTAGTGAAGCGTGGTGTGAGAAAAAGTTGAAGGTTGAATGGGAGTGAAGTATGCAATTAAATAAATAAACTTAGAAACAAAAATGCAGCTTTGAATACTGTTACAACCGAAATGTTTTTGGGCCCTGAGAGGTAAAGAATCGAGAGATACAAGGTGGAATTCGTGAAAGCTTTTGTCTTCTCTAAACAAAGTTGATGGTGGCACAAGGAGAGCTATGCTCTTTGATGATCGTCGAAAGTCGGAGGGAATAAAAGAGGTTGTAGTTCGATCTGAATGAAGCAAGGCGATAAAAGGTATGTATGGGGAATAAAAACAAACTCGCAACGCTATATAAATGTATCCTAACCGCCGAAAAAGGAAAATGAATAACTGTCCGAATAACTCCGGATCGTAGAAGTAGGGTGTTCAGAGGCTCATATGGGTATTTCGAATACGCTTTGACAAAAGAAATTTGTTGAATAGTTCGTTAAATAGGACAAAGAAGGGACTTGAGGCCCGGTGTTAAAAAAAAAAAAAAGGAAAGAGTTGAAAATCGTTATGTTGACATAGGAGTCAGACGTTGAAAGAACGAGTGTCTGAGGTTTGAAAGGTTCCTCGAATAGTACGAAGCAACGTACTAAGTGGTATGAAATGTGATGTCGGTTTAGTAGGACGAATCGTGGGAGAAATGTACAATTGAACTTAATCAATTATGCAATATCGAGATAGAGTGGCGTGATGATATGGTAGGGCAGATGTGATGGATGAATGCACAGATCTGGGAGTGATGATCTGCGAGTAGAAGACTTTGAGAGCGTATGTATCACAGATCGAGGATGATCGAGTTGGCTATCGTGATAAACGCTTAGATGTTGATCTGGAACTCATGTGTTTAAATTGATGTGTTGATGGAACAAGGAAGTAGAAGATATGACTCTTCTTCTGCCAATGTTCGAAATTGGTAGGTCGACGACAAGAGGAGTTCGAATTGCAAAGTAAACGAGGAGAGGATGATGATTGATCAAGAGGTGGAAGAATGTGGTTGACCTTTGATGAAGTTGATGATTACAACAAGATCTGCGAGGCTTTGTTGGACGTTCAAGAATGTGATTGTTGCTGGGGCAGCAAAGCAGTATGACGCAGAACAGTGGTTGTAGCTTTCAAAGGAATGGGCGATGGAAAGGGATGAGTGAGTACGGCACGGTCGAGATTGTTGTGAGATTGAGGAGGGGAATGTCGGTCGGGATTATGTGATGAGAGGAAGTCGGAAGTATAAAGAAAGAGGAGAAGAGGTGAAAAGAAAGGAAGGGGGAGGAGGGAAGTTAACTGCGAACGACGATGATTGTAGCCAGTATGATCGTAGGCATATGTGGAGTTGAAGGTATGAGGTGGGTGGTTGAGTTCGGCAGGTGGAAAGAGGAAGAAGAGTAAATAGAGGATGAGTCGAAGGGAAGGGAAGGCTAAGCGAAAGGCCGGATTTGGGGGGGGTAGGGATATCGAGATGAGGTGTCTAATAAGTGTCTTCTTCAATTGGCAGGGGGGTCCAAGGAAGAGTTGAGAACCTTGTTAGATAAATAAACCTTGGCCAGAAGCGTCAGACTTCAGTACGGTCGGTACGAGGACTAGTACTAGTGACACGCAACTCTCATGAGTGAAGTAAAGGCTTGCTAAATAAATAGATAAAACAATTCACAAATATAAATATAAGTAAATAAAATAAAAGGTTCAAGGTCTGAGGTCTGAGAAATGGTGAATTGATTGATTGGCTCAGAGTCAGAAGAGTTGGAGCAGTTCTATACAGATAAGTACTAATTAGGATAATCAGTACTGTCACTGGTACCGAGTGAATTCGTAGATCGCAGCTGTGTCAGTCAATTCGTGAGGTATTATTCGTAAAGTCTTTCCTGATGGGTGACCTAGGCCCCGGGTCGTAGTTTTGTAAGTCGTAAATAAAGGAATATTATAGGTTTGGTCTGAGAGATGATATTATGATTTTTACCGTCCCAACACTCAAGTATCTCGCCGTGTCCTTGTCTCCGTTTCCGTACTGCACGAGGTTGTTGTCCTTCCTGTATGTATGTATGAATCCGCGGCAAATGTTTATAGGAAAAGTCGCTGATCTTCTTTGTTGATGCGAGGACGGAATGGATGGGATGTATGGACTTGTGCGAGATAGTGTGTCAAGTAGTGTTGAGATGGTTACCCGTCTGGCTGAGGGGTGATGCCGAGAAGGGATGTGCCCACGGATGAGCAAGATTCGAATAGGTTTGGTGGCCTTTGGCTTGACTGACTATTATCGAGGATCGCGCGCTTCTAGGTTGGAGGTTTGGGACTTCTGCTCTACAGCTCATTGAAAGTTTACGCTCAAGTGACCAAATCTCCAAATGGTACAAGCATGCGATAATAAGAAGTGAGGAGAGGATGCTATACTATAATAACATGGACAATTCAAATGGTTGGCTGCACTTGTATTGTAAATCTAATATCTCTATTCCTGTCATCATTTTTGCCTTTCATTATCTACCTATATGGAGGAAAACGCTCATTTTTGATATCAAACAAAGAAAATGATTAGGAAGGGGAAGTGGCACCCTTCCCCTCTCGTTGCCAATAATGCATTCATTCACCTTCATTCTCACCCCACCCCAGATTTGATGGGATGGATGGGTGGATGGATGCACACGCTCAAGCCTCAGTGCTTTCATCTCTGGTACCTAGCTAATACATAGTAACTTAGAAGCAGCTAACTAGTAGTTTCCAACCAGTCATTCATTAGATCCATGCATACTAGATACACACACCCTCTCTCTCTCTCTCTCTCTCTCTTTCTTTCAATAGCCAACGCTTTTTCCTACCTCACAGAAAATTCAAAGCTTATAATTCCACCAGTGCTTGACCATCTTCGGTATAATATGACTCAAAAGGAGTCAAAGGAAAGCAAGAACCTCCATGACATTCCACATTCCATCATTCCATTAGAAAATTGGCAAGAGCAGCGATGGGCGTGCTTCAGCCACCAAACACTAAAAAGGTACAACTAGCTAGATTTGGTAACAAAAGGCATCACTTCTATCCAATCATTCTAGAAGGATTCGAGACATTTCATCACTAAATGCGTTGCTGCTCTTACAGACTTCCATTTGATTCTTCTCTTTAGATGGCTGCCATGGAATTATTATTGGTTGCTAATATTAATGCTAAAATGCTCCAAAGCCCCCATGAATAAACCAATCTTAGCCTTTATGCAAGCCCCTAGAAGAATGAATGAATGCATGCATTGATAGTCGCCTTCCCACACCCATTTCAGGATACCTAGCTAAACCAATAATCTGGAAGCATTTCCATGAAAGAGAGGAAACTTTACCGCTCTCAGTGCTCTGGTCTCCCTACCTGATATATCTTCTACGCCCTGCCGGCCCTTGAGCTGGGGAAGTTACCGTTACCGTTGCGTGGGTAAGTTCTGGCCTCATTATTATTAGATGATCAATGAACTTTTACTAGGGGATGGCGAATCTGGCGAGTGCCTTGGCAACCTTCATTCCCATTACATACAGAGTACATTACCCATCATGCTACGGTGGGGTGGGTATTTGCATTTCCGGAGTCCGTGGTACCTACCAGGACCTTCTAGAGGTCAAATATACAGGACGGAGTAATGAGAAGGCCATGTCGGCGATAGTGAAGCTAGATTTAAAATGCCTTTATGCTTTTCCCGACAGCTTAAGAACAGGGACGGACTTTGGGAATTCAAGGATGAAAGCCCGAATGACTTGAATTCTAAAATTCGTTGAGGATTCTCGAAGGAATGATCAATCATCCATCAACGGCTTCCAAATAACTAACAAGGATACATGTCATCAGTCATCAGTCATCAATTCAACCCTTCATGTTGCAACGGTGGCCGTACCCGTATTTGATCTGATTGATGGGTAAAGCAGATTGTGATATTCTTGCCCACGTTGTGATGCTTGTGTACAAGTGACACATTCAGACTTCAGCGTCTCTCGCCTATGGAATTGTGCTTGAAACAGTAATATCAGGAATGCTGAATCATAAAGAACACATATCACAAATTCGCAATCGTTTCTCAGTGACACATCGTAATTTAACAAAGCAGAGAGGACAGATAATTCAGATTGATTGGATTATGAAGCTTAGTAACCTGTTAAACAACTACATACCATGCCATGCTCTCTTACTGTACTCGACTTCTACTGCCACTGCCACTGCTACTGTTACTACTACTACTACCACTACTACTACTACCTACACTACTACTACTACCCAGCCTCGAAAAATGATCTCTCTATAACACAGGAGGATACCGCTGCTTCCGAAAAGCCCCAAAATGGGTTTGACTTATCTTTTAGACCCAGGTCGTGTGACCACCTATTTTGGAGAGACAAAGAATTGTTACAAGCCACTTATTGGCATTGGGATAATAGATGAAAGGTTGAAGAGGCGAAAGAACTTGGCCCAGCCTCTTTTTTCCCTTCTTTTCTTCCATCATCTGGTAGATCATTACAATCACTTCAAATCATTTGATCGGGTGTTACACGTATACATTTCTAAAATAACCAATCCAGTGACATAATTCCTCGCTACACGCAAGGTTTCCAGATTCTTTGCTCATATTGCGCATTTCTCAATTAGTGAGTGGATTAGTGACTGAGTGGTATGGACATTCCGAAGTCGCTTTCAAGTCTTATCATGTTCGACAAAGGGGGGAGGATGATGGATTAAATTGACATATTTGGCGTAATGCGTGGGAAGTCACCCCATTTGTTCAGCATCTGAAGCACAAGACAACATGTTGTAACACGGATTCGCCTTTGTTATTGTTGCATGGCATCATTGGCATGTTTTCGACATCAGTAATGAGTGACCTTTAAACATTCACGGAGGTCTCCGATTACACTTTACTTCACTTGCTCTTCACTTCCCCGCCTCATATGAGACCCAGTGCAAGACGACTCTCAAGTCTTGACTTGTTTCCTTGTTCAAATCCAGACCACATCATTCTCTTCAATGTAAGTCAACATGACTCTCCCAAGCAAATCAGCAGACTGAGAAACCCACAGCATCTTGCTGGTTAAACCCCCTCGTTTGAAGATCCCCTTCTTCCTTTTCACTTGGAACTCACTGATCTTGAAACTCGCGCTTATGTACTGCTTGCTGTACTCCATAATTCGGATGTTGATGCATCAATTGATACACATACCTTTCGCACATCACATCTCCTCTATGCCCAGCCGTCCTGTAATGCTGCAGCAGGAAAGCAAAGCATGGCTACCCTGAGTATGTAGGGATCATGAATAGATTAATTAATACACATCAATTATTGTCGTCGTGGGGTATTTTGATGGGTCGCACAGTCGATTAGTTTGGATGCTTTGTGCTCTCCGTGGATGCAAACTGTTTGCTCACTCACTATCGAGTCTTCGAATCTTCGAATCGCCGTGGTAAATTGTTTCATTAGAAACTATCTGGATGTAATCAATTCTTGAAATTGAGGGCATCATTACAATATATTATAATGTATTATCCTTGATTGAAAAGCACATCTTCATTTCACCTATCATGAGTCACCCCGCTACACCTTCATATCTCTTTGCATTCCAGACTTGCCGACTGGTTAATCGTAGGCGAGCGCCCTGTGTTCTTACTGCACGAAATGAATTACCGTTTGCTTCAAGAAACGTATGATCGACGACCACCCTTTCCGCCGGTGTTTCCATATTCTAAGTAAAGCATCGTCTCCATCCGGGATATCATGCCATCAAAATATCCCGAGACTTTCCCTCAGATATAGTATGATCTACTTGATAAGCTCATCTATTGATACTTCCTCCCAGCAAACCGAAATCCACAGCTGAATCTCGCATATTTTACGATGCTTCATCAATTGGGAATGAGAGCCCTTGATGACGGAGTCCATTGATTGGATCTTCATTTGGAATTGAAACATCCAATTTCTTCGATATACAATTACAGCATGGTTTGAAACAATTGAGCGGGTAATTTAAGTAATTAAGTGTATGTATGTATGTATGTATGTATGTATGTCTTGTGAATTGTTCGCTGGTCGAGTAAATACTAATAAATACGCATGAATGTACATGAAGGTACAAATCTTATTTCATGACATGCATATATATGATGTTGTTATAACATCAAAAAGAAGGTAGATCAGCTTGTTATCTCTACTATCAAATCAAGATTCGACGCTCCAAACTCAATATTGGAACTACCCCATTTTCGAGTATTATTATTGAGATAACATGGCAGATATCATCATTTATCGTTATCATCATCATTATCGTTATCTCTTATTTCTTATCTGTTATCGCGGGCGCCGCAAACGACCGAAACAAAAAAGGCGACCAGAGTTTTTGTGGTGTGCAGA